ATGAGAAAAACCCAGTTGAATAGGGTTCAAGCGTGTCAGGCAATTAAAACTACAATCATGAGGCTGATGAGATGGATCAGTGGGTGAAGGAGCTTGCCACTAAGCTCGAAGACCCGAGTGTGGTCCAGGGACTCACAGGATGGAAGGAGAGCAGTGAGTCCTGGGATTGTCCTCTAACTTCCACCCTTGTCTGGGACACTCACATGTGTGTGCATCCATGCCCCTATAGAGACATAAACAGACAAATGTAACAAAAAATGGAAAGACCACAATCATTAAAATGCTTTCAGTTTTCTCTTTGAAAATGAACTACTTCAAACTCAAGCATTCTGAAATTAAATCGCTTATCATTAATAATTCTCTAATGTGATTAAACATTTTTGCTTGAGATTGTGAAGCCTTTGTTGGATTATCTGCTTATAATTACTCTTCCTTGGGTCTGGACTTCAGTTCTTTTGTTCAGCAAGTTTATGGGGGATTTCGGTGTGCTCCTTTGAGTCTAAACTACTGTGATGAGATTTTCTTCACAGAGCTGGTTCTCTTATCTATTTTTTCCTGGCAGTAATTTATTATCAACTATGTGTTGGGCACAGATGCAAGAAAAAAATTGGAAGTGTAAAAATGTCTAAAAAAAGCCTGTTCTCAAGTAGTTCACCAAAAAAGATTCAGCAGTCAATCAGCATGCGCTGGTTAGATTTTGTCAGCTTGACACAAACCTGGGTAGAAGTCACCTGGGTAGAAGGATCCTTAACCGAAGAATTTCCTCTACCAAACTGGTCCATGGGCAGGTCATTGAGGCATTAGTTGCTAATTGATGTAGAAGGGCCCAGCCCACTGTGAGCATGCCATCCCTGGGCAGATGGGCCTGGGCTGTACAAGCCAGGGGAAGCAAATCAGTGAGCAGTGTTCCTCTGTGGTCTCTGCTTCAGCTCCTGCCACTGGGTTCCTGCCTTGAGTTCCTGCCCTGACTTCCCTCAGTGATGGATTGTGACCTGGGAGTTGTAAGCTGAAATAAACCCTATGCTCTCCACGTTGGTTTTGGTCAGTGTTTTATCACAGTAATAGAAAGTGAACTAGAATGCAGTTATTGCAGTATAAGTTGTCAAATAAAATGCTATTCTACTTGGCATGATAGAAGTCAGTCAAAGGGCACCAGGCACAGTGACCTCCCCGCCTGGCCTAATGTTATCAGGGCAGACTTCTTGCAGAAACAGGCGTTTGAACTGACTTTGAAGAATAGACTCAGATTAGTGAGAGGTCAACTTGCTTTGAAAGATGGATTCCAATTAGTGAAGCAAAGATGGAATGGAGAGAAGTTGATCATGCCTTTCTACCCTCATCAGGAACTGGAGAGCGCTGTATTGCATGGAAGTGTATTGCATAGATGCTTTACAGTGAAGGGTTCTGTGCCTGGTACTGGTAACTATGGAATCTTAGACATAATAAACCATATTTATAAAACATGGCCCGTGTGAAACCTTCTGAAATGCCTGCAGGTCAAATTTGATCTAGATTTAGTCCATTTCTAGTGGACTAAACACATAGCCCCCCCCCCATTTTATTTTATCTCCTCTCCAGTTCTTTTCATTCTTTTTCTTTCTGTTTCTTTATTTCTGTTTTCCTCTATCATGAAATCAAATCCAGGGCCCGAGATGACTTAGCTGCTTACCTGCTTGCTGTACAAGCATGGGGGCTTGAGTTTGTGCCTCAGCATCTGCCCAAACCTGTTGTGTTGGTGTATTTATAATCTCAGTACTGGGAAAGAGAGATGGGATGATTCCTGGGGACTCACTGGCTAGCCAGTGTCTCCTAATTGATGAACTCTGGGCCAATGGAATGACAGACAGACCCTATCCCAAAACGCAAAGGTGGAGGTGCATTCCTGAACATGACACTTGAGGTTGTCTACTGGCCTCTGCAAGCATCTCTCTCTCTCTCTCTCTCTCTCTCTCTCTCTCTCTCTCTCCACGCACACACACACACAGAACCAGAGGAAAAGAAAATTACTCAAATGTTATATGGTTCCTAGAGAAAATGGATTGAGAGCATTGTTACTGAGTAACAACCAGCAGGAATACACTTTAGAGATGTGGCCAACACTCTCTTGACATACCTTCCTTAGTCTTTTAAGCAGAATTTTGAGGTTCAAGATAAAAAACAGAAAGCAAAGCTGCAACTGCATAAGGGTCTTTTTCTCAAACAGTGTTTTGTGCTCTGATCCAGTTAAAGCAGCCTCGGCAGGAGGGATAGGAATGCTCAGGCTTGGACTCCAGGAACGGAAGCTAGTCTGCATGGGAGCTGAGTTTGACCAAAATAACTCACAATAGGGGAATGTGTCAGGGCTAAGTCAGCATGGATGTTTTTGTTAGTTTTTTTTTGTAGATCCTGCTAATGAGTAAAATACTCCTGGCATCTGTTTGGATAGTGTAAGGATTGTAAAGTCTGCTGAAGAAGTAGACTGTTTACTGAGCTGGAGATCTTTGATTGCTTAGTTGTTAACTGGTCTGGGTGATTTAAGGTAGCCAGTTCTAGGACTTTGACTCTTCTCCAAATGGAAAATTTTCCTGCCTGTGATAATATGTTACTGGTAAGATGTGTGTGGTCATTTCATATCTCATTAACTATTTTAATGTCATGTTACTGTTAAGAGTAGATTTGTTATTTGTCTTGGAAGCTAGCTCAGTGGTTAAGGTGCTTGCCAAGCAAATGTGAGGGCTGGAGTTCATATCATCAGATGTCACACAAATGCCAGTTAGGTGTGATGGCTTGACTGTAAGTGCAGCTTCAGGACCCCGAGACATGAGATCCCCAGAACAAGCTGGCTAGGGAGAGTTGACATATTGGTAAGCTCTGGGTTTGATTGAGAGACCCTGCCTCAGTGAATAAGATAGCAGACAACTGAGAAGGAGTCCCAACATCAATCTCAGGCTTCCATGAACACAAATGCAAACAAACAGATGCTTGCACACCACGCACACACACACACACACACACACACACACACACACACACGCTTAAAAACGGGAGAGTCGATTCATTGATTATTTTACAACCTCTGTTAATTGTACAGCCATGTGGGCACACACTGGTTTAGTAGAGGCTGCTACCATTAAAAACACAGAAATCAGAACCTAAGAAATTCATGGGGTCATATTGACTTGGAACACTGTTAACCATTCTGAGTTAGCTGTGATGACTCTGAGGTTTTTGGAGAGGATCTTAATTTTCTCTTTGTTCCTCTTTTTAATGATCTCCATCTTGTCACTTTCCTAATGGACAGGATTATCTAATAGGATGATGAAATGGAGCAGAGCCACAAACTCCCTTCTCTGTCTTATGCCTTGGGAGACACAGGGTAGCACAGAGAATGGTGAGCCTAGATTGGATTTTATTGACTAATAATATTAAAAATGGAAAAAGAACACAGAGCTGTCAAATCTGTCTTTTGCTATGGATAACATTCAAAAAAGAAAACTCCCCCTCCAAAAGGCTTGTGTATCACCATTTCTCAAAAGAAGGCATGTATTTCAATATCAAAATGCAACTACTATTAAACTTTCAGGATAAATGGAGTCTGTCTCAATAGAATGCCTCATTGGTGATGTGGCGTTGGAGTTCTCTGTGGATTGATGAAATGTTGCCCAGCGTGGTCATTTGGAATGCATGTTAGGAACTTCTGTCAGAAGATCCCACACCAACCTTTTCTCATCATCAGTGGTGCAGCTCAGTTTTTCGCTCTTGAATTAGGAGGTTGTAAATGTATTCTTGTCTTATTTTATGAAACTTTGTATAAATTTTAAGTGACTGGGGCTGTAGGGTGGCTAAATGGGTAAGGGGGCTTGTTGCCAAGTCTGATGGCCTAAGTTTGATTCCTAGAACCCAAATGGTGGAAGGCGAGAGCAGATGTCTGCAAATTGTTCTTTGATTTCCACACATGCTGTGGAATCCATATCCTCCCAATATACAAAATAGTAAGATATAAATATTTAAAAATTAAAAAGATATTTTACTATTTTTATTTTATGTATATGTATGTATAGCCTGTATGCATGTAAGTGCACCCATATCAGAAGAGGTGTTGGAGCCCCTGGAACTGGAGTTACAGACAGTTGTCAGCTGCTGTGTAGGTTCTGAGAATCAAACCCAGGTCCTCTGCAAGAGCAGCCATTGCTCCTAACCTCTGAGCCTTCTCTACAGCCCTGATTTTTTTAAAAATTATTATTTATTATTTTAATTTTATGTGTATGAGCGTATTGCTTGCATGTGTATAAGTGCACCTGTGTTATGCAATGCCCATGGAGTTCAGAAGAAGGTATCAGATTCCCTGGAACTGGAATTTAGCCGCCATGTAGGTGCTGGGAATTGAACTCAGGTCCTTTGCAAGAGCAGCCAGTGCTTTAACTGCTGAGCCATCTCTCCAGCCCTCTCCCCGCTGACCAAATTTTTTAAAAATTGAAGACTTAACCGAGGAATGATTGAATTCACCATGTATCTCTTAACCTATGTAGTTACAGGCTGATACTTGGTCACGCGCTAGAGAATAGGTAAATGTCTTTCAGAGATCTTGTACCTACCACTGGACCATACTCCCAGCCCCTGCTTTCTTTGTATTAATTACCTTCCTCGGGAGATTTACTCCATCATTGTGAATTCAGTGGTAGGTGACAAATCATTTTTTTGCTCACAGTATACTTCAGTAGTCTGAAGAACTGTTCAAAGGAACATTTGAAACTTTTGTAGAGCTTAAAAAATTGGGTCACCGATGATACAGAGATTTTTCAGATCTTAGAATGGCAAACTCAAAGTCATACAAGCGAACTTTAGAGGATGGGTCCAGATGGCTGCCATACAGGAATATGTATCCTTTCTGTCTTTGAATCTTTTCTTCTTTAGTTAGTTTTTGAAACAATTCTGGGGAACTTTTATTAAAAACAGAAATAAGAGAATGATAATTTGACCACAATTTTTTCTCCTATTTTGGTTTTATTTGTGGAAAATAGGCTACAGCACGGGCGTCTTCCTCCTCACCTAAACTGAGAGAAACATCGTGTTCTATCTCTTCTCTGGAAAATACAGTAAAGACACCCAGCCGATTTTCTTCCTCAGGATCTAAAGAAAAACAGTCCTGGCTGGACATAGTTAACAGCTCTCCTGCTGCTGAAGATATGGGGCACCCCCTGACATTTGCTGTGCAGGTCCACGCACCCACATTCTTAGAGGCAAACAGTTGCCAGGCTCCAGAAAATAGCTTAGTCACATCAGAAAGCAGGTTTTTGAACTCTTTATCCAGTGATGACACTTCTTCATTGAATAGCACTCAAGACCACCTGACTGTCCCAGACAGAGCTCCTGGATTAAGAATGGACAGAGGTAAGCCAAGAAATTGCCTATGCTTTGGACAGTGAATATTTATGGGGGCATTATAGAACTCTAATGAGAATTTGTAACAAGAATGTTTGCACTCATGAATGGAGATTCAGTAATTAGATGGTCGCATGGGGGCTGAGCCTAGGGCTGTTTCTGTAGAGTTTGCCTATGACAGCTCATGTTCCCAGGTCACTAACTGCCTGATGCATTGTCAGTAACTAAGTGCTTTAGGACAGTGTGGCATGTATATGATCAAAAAATGATACCTTCCCATCATCTTGAATTATATACCCTTTTGGGGTTCCATAGCCTGTGCTCTGGGGCTTGTGGTCTTAAATCAGGAATCTATAGACTGGTATTCATATCACTTTGGTATTACCTTGTACATTTAGAGCAGCCATCTTCTCTGGGCCATGTAGTTACCACTGACTCTTCCTATGTGGGTAATGGAAAGACAGACACTTTGCATGCATCTTGGAGGGCAGCAGTAGCACCTTTAAATACAAAGGAGAGGGCAGTGTATGCTCCTAGAAAACATTTTCATCTTAACAAAGGAAAGAGTTAGTGGTGTGCAGAATTAATAATGTGTTGTTAAATAGTCTGTGATAATTCCTATCTCTTATTCAGGATGAACTTGTTTTTGTTACTGTCCATTCATTACATTTCTTTCTGATTGTGCCTCATTCAATCTGGTGTAAAACAAGATTACCTGATATGTCAGTGAGCAACAAGAAAATCATAAGTTTGTATTGTAAGTTTTTAATGTATTGCCGAAAGAAAGTTATCTTGTTAAATCCTCATAATAACATGTACGAGTTGGTCAGTGACATCAGTGGTGATTCTCTCCTCTCCCCTGAGAAGGGAGGGTGCTTTTATGTTTTCAAAATTCAAAATACCCCACTAATTTAATATTGGGTGTGAGAATAATTTGAGCCAAGGATCACAATTGTGTGCCAAGTTGTGTGTGTGTGTGTGTGTGTGTGTGTGTGTGTGTGTGTATAATAGTAGTATTCTGCAGATGGTTTACTTAGATCGCCTTTTCTTTTGCTATCCCCCATCTAGGCTGACTATTTCATAGTAGAGAGACTTTAGTGAAGGACCTCAGTGACCTACCACACCACTTCTAGAGGTGTCTCAGTGGGTAGGGTGCACTGGAGACAGAAAGTTACCACTGAGGAATATGGTGGGGTGAAGTTAGGTTTATGAGGAATGGAAGATAGACTCCGCTGGCCTTAGATCTGTGAGGGGCTTTGTCCAGAGAAAGCACTGAGTTTACTTATAGTGCCTTGAAGTTACAAAATTGAGGTCAGTGGCACAGGCAAAAAGGAGGCAAATTTAGATGTATGTTAAGAAATTTGTTTATGTTGTGAGTTATTCAAAATAGAGCAGGCAACTTGGAGAAATGCATTCTTGTCATTGAAGTATTCACTCACTTTGAAATGGCCATTTTCATGGAGTGTAGTTTGAATATTACACCTTGATCATATTTTTGGTTGTAAAGACACAAAAGAATCTATCTTAGGTGGCCTTTACCTTGGTACTTAGAAGACGTTAGACGTAAGATTAGTGAAACTACACAAATAAAATTGTGACATCTATTGTTTCCTTTTTAAAAACCTCTTACTTTAATCAGTGGGTTTGAAGAAGAATTAATTAGGGGTTGGAGACATGGCCTGGTGGGTGAAGTGCTTCCTTGCAAGCCTGGAAGACCTGAGTTCCAGTCTAAGAACACACATAATGGTAGAAGGAGAGAGCTGACTCTGAAACTCTCTCTCTCTCTCTCTCTCCTCCCCTCCCTCCCTTCCTCCCTTCCCCCCCTCTGACAAGCATAGCTTCCAAAGCATCAGAAATACTAAAGTTTCATTTGCATTCTTTCCCAAGAGAGAACGCTGCTGATTGAATCTTTTAGGATCAATAAGTAGATCACGAGAGGAAGATGCCCACTCTTCTCATCTCTGTCTGAATGCAGTCCTGGGAATGTGTGTGCTGAGGAATCTAGCTGGGAGCCAAAAGCCTTTTAATCTAAGAATAAAAAGACCTGGTATTATTTAGTTTCGAATTACATGTAGAGTGACCGACAAAATCTGGTGCTTATTCAAACAGCTTGATGGAAGCTATTTCTCTCTACCCGCTTAGAGGAAGTCAGCATGGAGGTGTTTCCCCCTCAACCGGTGGAGAGGACGAGAACGTGGAAGTGTTTCCTCCTCATTGGTTTGTTGGCAGTTACCATATGTTACAAAATTTTTGCTGAAGACTTTCTCCTGCTGTTGGGGATTTGGTTTCATTCCCAGAAGAGCTGAACAACATCAAGTCATCTCCATGGAAACCACAGCCCGATCTTCTGCCTTTGGGGATGACTTGCTGTTGAGTAATCAAATTACATGTTGTGCATTATTTTTACATGTGTATGTTTGTGTGTTGGAGAAGGAGATAGCTTTTCATTTTTGTGATTTCTAAATAGTTTTTAACTTTTCAGTGAGAATAAAGGTCTGTGAAATTCCTGCGTCTGGAAATTTTGAGCAGAAGGCATTTATATCAGAGATTGAAGTTTCAATGGGTCCAAGATAGGAATTAAATTTTAGAAGATGAAGAGTTGGTCTCAAGACATTTTCCGGGGAAAGAGACTTTTATATTAAGAAAGATTCTTAAAGGTTAACAACTGAATTCTGAAAGCAGACAGAATGCATTATAGTCTTTCTTTTATTTAGACAATGAAAGAAATATTTTGCAGTTGGTATGCAATTAAAATTGTGGTCTTAGAATTTTATACTCAGACATTTCTCCCTATAGTTTAAGCTATTAGAGAAAAGGGAGGTGTTAATTGCATCCATTGCCTTTCTATTCTAAGAGTTTCAGATTTCCAGACCTCTAGGGATTCCCACTAACTCTTCCAATGAAGCATAGCTAGAAAAGAGATAATGGAGTGTTATCTCATCTCCATTTTATTCTGAACCCTCTTCCCTTCTTTGGGGAGTGACTTTCTGGTAGCAACTTGTGCCTGTGTGATGATGAATCAAAGGTTTATCTCTGGATGCATATATACAACATACTATCTTGTGACACTGTGGGATCAATATCACTTTCCTTCCTTGGTGAATAGATTAACCATACCTTGGATATGGAAAACTGCATGTTAATTAGTAAAACTAATGTCCAGTTTATACAAATGAGTTGCCAAATGCAGGTACGACAAGGATGACTCTAGCAATCACATAGATTACAAGTTGAATGTAAAGCATTATTAATGAAGATGCAAGCACTAGATTACACACTTGTCCAGAAAGTGGGACAAGGGAGCTAGATTGTAGGAGTTACATACCATCTGAGTGACCAGTCCAGGTGCGACATTATTTTAGCTAGGTATTTTGGGTGTTTCTATAGGGATGATATGGGATTAACAAGTAGATAATATTTAAAAAATCTGGTACTGAGCTCAACTCAACTTAGCATTATTACTGTTATTATGGTGATGATTCTATATCTTCATATCGAATGGGAGGAATAAAATGGAGTTAACAAAAGAAAATGAAGTGAAAGAAGCTCCACAAAGGAGACACAAAGAGAGCATCCCAGGGATTTACAAAAGCAGGGATACAGAGTATGGACAGTCATGTATAAGGGAGGATGTGTGCATGTGGGCAGAGGATGGGGAAGAGAGATAGGAAGGTAGCTTCGGCAAGGCTTAATGATGGGCCAGATGTAGTTAATTTTGATAGATAATAGATGACTACTTCTAACTAAGTTGGTAAATGTAGATGGAGCTGGCCTTTCAGAGTATTCTGCTCTAGATCACAGTCTATAACAATATGGGGAGGAAGGAGCTAAGTAAGAAGGGTTACGGAGCATGTGTAATAGTTGGGGTGGAGGTAGACATAGGAAGCAAAGGAGAGAAGAGGGATTCCATGCCCTGACTGATCTCAATCTTTGCATCCTCAGGATTTAATTTAGTCCATAGAGTATTTCCTAGTGATACTGTTTCTGAATTATAATGAGAAGTGGTCCTAGCATGGGAATAATTTAAGTATGGGTACCTTTTACATATGTGATTGTTGGCTGTTATGGCATGCATCTCAGACATGGATGACTGACCACTGAAAATCCGGTTAAGCTATCTTAAAACAGAGTGATTTTATTATCTGAAAATCTGTGCACTATAAGTAGGTCATTTGTTATATTCAGACTTTTATAATCTTTTTGTTCCTTCCACTTTTGACAACTTTTGCTGAGGATAGGAGTGGGAGGTTGTGGAAATCACTGTAATAAGAATTTTGAAGCTGGTGACAGTGATATCTAGACTTAAGAGGCATGAAAAGCCCAGTGACAGCTTGGACAAAGTAGGAGCGATTTGAGAGCTAGAGGTAGCAACGAAAGGTAAATGATAGGTGTGTTCAGAGAGTGTCGTGGATATGGTGCAAGAGCATGCCTATGCAGCAGGCATATGGAGGTCAGAAGACAAGTCTCTGGTGTCAGTCCTCGCCTTCCACATTGTTGGAGACAGGGTTCCTAATGTTTTTCAATGGTTTCATATGCCAGGCTGTCTGCAAGCTTCCAAATAGCCTTCTGTCTTAATCTCCCATCTGCTGGCAGGGATGCTCTGGGATTGCAGAGAGTAACCTTGCACTACTGTCTTTGGCTTTTCGGTGTATTTTGGTGACCCAAATTTAGGTTGTCAGGCTTGCACAGCAAGTACTTGCCCTACTGAGCTATCTCTCCAGCCCACAGTTAGTATTTTTAAACACAAGTAAGATTATATTATACATTTTTCACTTGTAGCTAGTTTTTTTCCATATAAATTTTCCTTGTTAATACACAAAGACCTTGCTCATTTATTTTGATAATAGCAGAGCTTTTCATGATATGAATATAATACTACCACAGATACAGCCTTTTCATTTAGTCTCTGGTTGATAGAAATGTAAATGTTTTCCAGTCTGTCGTTATTATAAAGCATACTACAGTGAGACTTCTTGTATGTGATAAACTATTATTATAATTATTATTAA